ACTCAGCTCAGGCACAGAGCAATGGAGTTGGCCATCTATGAACAGAGACCTCTGAAATTTTGAGTACCAAATAAACTTTTCCTCTTCTAAAATTTTGGTCACAGTGATGGAAAAACTGACTAAAACAAGGGTATCATTCTGCCATTCTTCTTATATCCATTATATGTTTCTTTAGGAATTAATACAAATGAAGTTCAGTAAATCATAACTAAAATTACTACAATTTTCATCAATATAAAGTCAAGGTTGAGTGATGTGGTATATTATTTTAAAGAGATTAATTCCTTTTCCATATTCATACCTTTATAGAATCTCCTTTCATGCCAACTTTGGACTTGGTCCTGTAACATACTTTGGCCAATGGGACAATTGCAAACATGATTAAAATAGATTCTTAAAAAGAGCTTGTGCATTGGGACTTTCTCTCTGTTGATGTTCTCATTCATTCCGAGTACCATGAGAAGAAGCCCAGGTGAGTGAGTCTGCTCTGGGATAAGAAACACAACAGCCCAGGAACCTTTGTCACCAAACCAATAGCCAGCACTGGAACACAGCACCAATCAAGAAGCTCAAGATACCAGATATTTAAGAGATACCATTTTTGATCATCTGGTCACTAACTGATGACAAACCACAAGTAAGCAAGAGGCCAGCAGAGAGGAGTTAAGCTGGGTCAGAACAGAATTGTTCTGCTGAGCAATAGTTTTGAGGGTGGTTTGTCCTTGTGCAAAAGTTGATTAATGCAGGAAGGGAGAGGAAAAATGAAAGGCAAAGTTGAGAGTAAGTTTGAGTTGAAGGAAATTCAGTTGTAAGGGAATGACAATAAATAATATCTCTCAAAGACAGAATTCAGACATATAGGTTTTTGGAGAACTTGTGTGCACAAGGGTGGTAAAGTTCCTGGAGTCAACACCTCCTTTCCCCTCTACTTTCATCTCCCTGATTCTGAATGTTCAGGGTCACAAGGAATGCCTCAGTAATCACTTTCATGGAGTGGCCCAATGTTGTATGAAAGAACTTAAATGTCCCAGTCTAATCCTCCCATTAAATGGGAGACAAATTGGCTTGTTCAATTCACCCAGAAATTTAGCTCATATTTTCTTTGTTTTTAATGAAATTAATAAATTTCCTGATGAGTTTTGAAAACACGATTTTAACTCCCTTGCAGAAGAATCTTTAGTTTTCTTTTCATTCCTGTGTTTCTTGAATTGAATCTCAAAGTGGGTAGAGCTATAGAAAGAGGCTCAGTGGTAAGAAGAAAATATGTCCCTCCCATGGTCAATACACCTAGAGTTGACTTTGAAAAGACACTTTTCCTCAGTCCTGGAGGGGAAATGAGTCAGATATGAAGATACCATCAACTTCAACCAAGCTACTGTCTGTGATGACAAGTGAGAGAACCAAATTAAAGAAAGGTGGAAAGGAAAATAGTTATTCTATGGTACACTGATTATTTGATCATTTTCTCTTCTAAAGAAAACTTTGGAGATAAATTTTTCCATTGTTAAGTCCTTAGTTTCTGAGGATCAGCTGGGCACAGACCTCAGGAGGCAGGATATCCAGGCTTACTGGCAGGATCCCTTCAAGGATGTGGTACGTGGACTCCCTAGGTCCTGGGGACCTCTAGCACCGTCTTCTATCTTGTTCTCTACCTTTTCTTACATATGATCTGCCTTCCAGCTTCCCGTGATTTGCCAGTCTTTCCTCACACCTATGCTTTTCCTCTGTTGTTTCCCTTATCCTCCAAGTGCATTTTTCCTGCTTGGTGAGAAGCTTGCTTATCCAGACACTGGAGAAAAGCTGTGAGCTTCCCGCATGGCCCCACTGAAGCCTTCCTTCCCATCTCCAGGCTGACCAGTTTGTTTTCCTTTGCAACTTCTGAATTTTGACTCACCTTCTCACACTACTAATTCTGATTGGTTTGGCCACACTGTCATCTTGGGTTGCAGAAAGTTTCACTTTTAAACAGTTGAATTAAAGTTAATTTTAGGACCTAGTGTTGTTAGCTTACCTGACATGCAGCAATCCTAAGTCCCTTGATACTGTATGGTATAAATCTTTAGGTGAATTTTATTTGTTCTTCCCAAAGAAACGAGCAGTTTTGCAGTTGGTCTTAAAGATGGTTCTCTTTCTCTTTAGGAGAAAGGAAATGCAAAGCAGAGGTGTGTGCATTTAGGAATGCACAAGGTAAGCTAGTTCTCTGAAATGGTTCTAGTCTATAGGGAGTGACTCACGAGCTTGTTGACAGATTGTTTTTTGAAGGGGGATGACACATATGTTTAGAAATAATAAATCTTTTCACCAACAGCTTCCCCAAATCTAGCAGACTGATATGGTTCACAAATTCACGATAGAACCTGCCTGATAAGGTACCAAGCGTGCTCCTGCCTACTTGATATGTCTGGATGAGACTTGCCTTTCAACTTAGCTGCCTTTAAATAAGAGACACTTGCTCTTGGAATATCAATCAGATAATTTATATTGGAAATGCATATTGCTATCAGTTTGATTCTGCCTTTCAACTCCCCAAATCCACTTCTAATTGTTATGCCATAACACTCTTACTAATAAAAGGGGCAATAAAATTTACTTGGAAAGGAATCTTAAAATGTGGGGGAATTGTTTTTGAAAGATGTGTAGTAAAGTGCTGTAATTGGAACTTTACCCAACAATGATATTTTGGCCTAGATTTTATTCTTGCATTAGCTATAAAAGTTTACTACACAAATTAATAAGCAGATGCTAGGGAGCTTGAATAACCAACTTAAAAAGACATTATTGTGAAATACTTGATAAATACCAACTTGGAAAAGAAATCCAACAAGCCAATTAATAGGTGTTTATTTAGTGAAAGAGGTGCAGCTGAGTATTTGCTTTTTATCATATTGTTACTATTGTTTGTCACTTTGTCTACTTGGCAATAATTGCAATGGATTTGCTTTAAAATGTTCTATATTTCCACCTTGTTAGCTCAAATTGAGGATTTTGCTGCACTTAGTCATTTTAGGAGGAATAACCGTTCTGCTAAGTTTTCTGTTTCCTTAAACTGTAGACTGTTCTCCTTAGTGGAAAATGGCTGCTGAGTGTGCGAAAACAGTACAAAAGATTTTAGCATAAAGATGCTGGATCATTTGAAATTCTCCATCTCTGCAAAATTCTCAAATTAGGCTTATGAAAGCAATTGGATTTAGCAAACAGCTAATTGAACAAAGCAAAAGCTTATCAGCAAGCCTGGATTTGGACTGCACTTGTTCCCACATTCTCTTAGCAGCAATATGTCTTCAGTGTCCCAGGTAATCCTCTCATTGGGTCCTTGAGATTGCCCTCCAGGAAGGCCCTTGTGCCAGGTGCACAAGCTCTCACAAGGCTGCCTCAGCTTTGTCAGTAGGACCTGGGTAGGCAGATGGCTATTTTTGGTAGCCCATCAACACAAAATGTGCCAAATCTAAGGTCAGACAAGATTAAAAGCCTTTGACTTATCATGTATTAACAACGGATCAAAATATCTTAGACTTCTCCTATGCCATGTTATAATTAGTGGAAAAAGTCAGTACCTTAATTAATTTACGGTTTATGTATATATGGTGGTTTCAGGTTGGGTACATGATGGATTTGGAGTTTGAGGATGTTCATCTGTATAGGTTTGTCCCTTTTCTCTCTGTTTCCTAGTCTTTTTCTCTAACTTGAGCGGTTTATACAAGCACAGTTTGAATTTCTTGACTACCAAGATGGTGTTGTTTCAGCTTTATCATTCCTCAGAAGTGTCACCACTGCTTAAACAGTTTTTCTTTTTGCAGTTGGAACTGCTTGACAAAACTGTATGGTGCTGTCAAGGGCCTGGAAGGAAAGCAAGGGGTAAACTTATTAAAGAGATCCCCAGTGGAGCACTTGTAATGAACTGAAGATTTCTCCAGAGGCCTGTTGCCTGTCTGATGACAACAGGAAACATTTTTCTAAACCAGGAGGTTTACAATCTACAGTGGAGGTGTGCTATTAAATTGTAGGATTTTTATTTCCCCCTATCTGGCTTAATCAGCAGAGGTGGTAACTGTTTTTCCATTGAAATGAAACATGCCACCCCAAATTCTCCCACATGAGGTCTCTTGTTTTGGGTTTCTGTGCAGAGGTTTCAAGATTTGAAACAATTCTCAAACTTATTTAGGAAAGAGAACACCTGGAAATCACAATACTTTCTGTTTTCCTGGATATGATGAGGAAATACTGGCTTATTGAACTGAAAATAACAAATTATAGTTGTTGACATAGTTAAATAAAATCTTGGATAAACTCTAATATGCATTGTTCATAACAGTACAAAGCCTTCATTAGGTAGGAGAAATAAGTCTGATTTTTTTTTTTTAATCAAGGATGTCTGCCGACTAAGCTGATAATTGAGTACTATACATTTCAATATCACAAAGAAAATCTCTAAGGTTTTGATCACAAAAATGTTAAATGTTTGAGGTGATATATATATTAATGAACTTTTACACTTTATATTATAACATTACTTCATAAATATAATCAACTATAAAACTTAGAAATAAAAAAAGAAAAATTTGGAATATAAAAATGACTGAGAAGTTTCAACTCATTAACTTGGTTGAATTTTTGAAGCATCAGTATTCCAATGGGCCATACTTTGACAGTCACTGGTAGGAAACTGTGTGAGCTGTGCAGAGCTCTAGGAATATTTTTTATGAAGTTAATGATAGGACTGTGTTTATGTCATGAAATGTGGTATTCAAAGAGTACTCTGATGGTTATCTGAGAGATGAGGGAATTGAGGAACCAGGCTCCTGTTGACATCATTCTTGGCTTAGGAAAAAAGCGACTGATCCTTAGACCTAAGGCTCCCCCTCTGGAGTCACTGCACTGAATGAGCAGCCACCTGCCAGTGCCTGTTGGTGTCATGCCTGTATCATGCTGAGAGCACAGCATCATTGCTAACTCAAACAGAAGAGATAATTACCAAGGCTGTGGCTTGAGAAGCAAAATACACCGACACTGGAGGGGAAAGGGCTATTTATTTAGAAAAGTCCACCTTCAAATCACTGGACAAGAGAAACAACTCATAGAGAAAATCAACACTTCTTACAACAAAGGGGGATCCATTATAATTGGCTGATTTCTCTAGCACTCTCTAAATGGTTTTGAACAAAGCCCTCCCAGATGTTTTCCACTGGATAAGCAAATACGATGGTGAAAAACCAATCATTTTGTTGTGCCTGTTACACTTCTTTCTACATTTCTCTGAATTACATCTAAGCATAATAATAGTGTACCTGATATTAGGGAGACACCTAATTTAGCATTAATTTCTCTGGGTGGAAATAGGAGCCATATGTTTATGTTAGTCATAGCGACATTAGGCAATTCGATCATTTCTGAGCAGATTGATATATTTTCATCTCCAAGAGAATTCTGAGAACTCATATTCATTTTGGAGCACCAGCAGCTTTTCAGTATAGAGGCCACACAAGTTTTCTAATCTTATTTTATTTCATTTCTCTACCTTTTTGATTCTGATTTGAGTCTCAGGTAAAATTGTGATTCTTCTGTGCCTCAGTTCTGTTAATATATTCCTCATCTCACTCTGGCAAGGCAGTAACTGCAAGTAGATTAACTGTTACAAAGTTGTAGCATAGCAGCATTAGGGTTCTTTGAGGTGGCTATTATTACTTGATTTTCAGACTGTTGAGATTTTTAAAAATATATACTCAGCCTCACTTGGTAATATCTTTTCACAAGGGTATAGGAATCCAATAGAGAAGCATCCTTTCCAAGTGCCCTGGATGCACATAAATAGCTTCCATTCTGGAAGCCAGCAGGGGGCACATAAGACAAAATGAGTTTTAAAAAATGTGCACATAGAGTAATTTTAATCCATTCCATTTTTAAATACCACAATAAATTTAATTTTCACAATAAATTAAATAGCCATATTCAGTTTACAAAATAGAATTACTTAGTGTGAAACCGGTATTTACAGCATTATACACTATATACATGACATTTCTCTTTCTTGACATACAACATGGAAGTAAAGGACTTGAGTTTCCAATGTGTGATTGACATGCTACAAGTGACACCATGGCCCATACAAGAAAACAATAGTGCAAAATCACCACAAGAACTTTGGAACAATGTCAATTTTATGAGATAAGACTTTTTTTTTTAAATAATAAGAAAATAGCATTTTTGTTTTGTTTTGTTTTCATGGCACCAATTCAGTGTCTGAATAAAGCCGCTTTCCCTTAGGAAAAAGAATGCATAACTGAATCCTCTACTTCCTGAAGCTTCACAGCTATTGGTACATTTTCACACATTCATCTTTTGGCTTAATCTATGAAAATGGCAGGTGACAAATTCTGAATCAAAGGAAGACTAACTCTTTGAGAATAGCTGAAGTCACTTTTTCCTTTACCACCACCTCTTCTTCTTTTTTTTTGTAAATAGCTTAAAAGATGCAACTTTGCAGACATCAACTTACTTATTTATCTTTGTAAATTTTCAGTAGAAAAAATTGATATCATATTTGGTCACACACTGTATTATGTACAAGTATACATGGAAAAATGACTTGGATAGTTGTGTCTAAGAAAAGTGCATATTTTAATCTAGAGGAGACATTGTGTGTCCCCAGGCACAACACATAGTGTTGTAGGGTATTGTTTTAGGGCCAGTTCAATGTCCTCCCAGTGATCTGGTAAAATTTTTGATTAAAAGGGTGAAAGAATTTGCGCAATTTGGTAATGACAGAGGGGTCCACCTCTGGATGAATGCGCCCCTTGCTGCCCGCCAGGCACTTATTAAAGATAATGTTAAATCGTAAGCAGTAAAACCCTCTGGTAGCATTGAAATACAAGTTGTATTGGCTTATCCTTGGAGGAAGATTTAGGAACTTCTCCACGAGCTGAAGTTCTGGCAGAGGTTCCGTGATGAGGCGGTCTCCATCCACAATGTGAAATTGTTCAATTGGAAAATATTTCAACCACCTTTCTAGATGTTTGGTGTAGATGCTGGTTCTTACTGCCTTATATTTTGTGTTCACTTCACAGGTATTAGGGTCTATGGCCAGCTTCTCAAACTTGTAATAGGTTTTGTTCTTCCTCTCCTTCCCTTCTAGCACCTGAGTGTAATCAGAAATAGCTCTTGTGGTTGGCTCCCTGACAATGATCAACAATTTGATGGATGAGTTCATTTTGTAAATCCTTTCTGGAACCTCCTCCGTGATAAAATATGCTGGGCTTTTTTCAATTGTGATCTGCTGAGGGTAGGAAAAAGGCATCTTTTTCCTATACCACTCAATGCCCTTGGCATAGTTCTCATCATTGTCAAAAAAGTGGATTTCTTGAGAGGCTTTGACCACTGCTGGATGGAGGTTCAGCATTTCTAGCAGTGCCCTTGTGCCCCCTTTCCTCACCCCAATGATAATGGCCTTCGGGAGCTGCTGGACCAGGTCATGGAGGCGAACCTGCTCCTTGGAAGTGTTGCCCTTCCGGAACTCATGGAGCAGGCCACGCTTAAACTGTAGGGCGCGGAGTGGCAGTTCAACCTGACTGCGGGCTCCACCAAATCGGCCTTCAACGGGGCAAAGAGGTTGTAGCCTGCAAGCAACAGAGACACACTGTAAGAAGCTCATTGTAACTAACTTCTCATTTTTCTACTTCACCAGTCAGACTAAGACTTTCAATGCATAAATAAAATCACTGGTGCCCAGCCTGCTGCAATCCATAATGAACATATGTTTGGAAAATTTTATTTTAAATAACCCTGTATTAAATGGAGCATATATAATTGATGGGATTTTTTTATTAGCACTCCTTAAAATTTTTATTCACCAAGCACTTAATTGACTCCAGCATGTACTTATGCTCATAGTACAGGACAGATAAGTGACACCAGCCATACTAATAGCTTTTCAACAGCTCACCAGTTAAAATCATTTAGAAAATGTGAAAGGGAGAAGATTACAATCTTCAGTTGGGAGGCTGAAGGGCAGAGAGGAGGCCATTTGTTTCTGGTTTCACATGGTGTTATTTTCTTGCAGCTTAGCAACACTTACATGGCTCTTAAAAATCTTTGAGATAGAATCTGAAAAGAAGTCTCACTCTCTATCCTTGGCTGTCTGCATCATCAACCTGCAAAATTCCAGTCTTGGTACTTGCTGGGCTTTTCATTCTATGAGGAATTTCTGCCCTTGGCCTTGATAACCAGAAGAGTACTATATTTCTTCTGCCTTTCTTTCTCTTTCTATTTAAAGAGGTCAGGAGTATGTTTTCACTTTGCTGAATGTGGGAACAAACCCAATTACCTACCATCAGCGAGTGCTGTATATCATCTACCACAACTGTGACCAGAAATCAACAAGACCTTGATGGGGCCAGAAACCTCAGCTCCTCACTGCCAAGTACATTTAAGTAAAAGACTGGAGTTCATGAGGGAAGGAATGCAATGGACAGAGCCAGAAAGGAGGATTTCCACTTTAATATTACCCTGAATAATGAGTAAGCACTTCTATTTTTCTCAGATAGAAAGATGTGGCAATAGTCACGATAATATTAGACAGGAATGGCTGTTTAATTTGGCATGGTCAATATATGTGATTAACAAATACAGTTTCCTTGTACATATAGACTGAAACTTAACTGAAATTAATTATAATTTTCTTAAGGTGGTTGGGGAAGGCATTTTAGCCTACTTGGGAAAAGGGCAGATAGTGGTTAAAATGGCTGTCAAACCAATTCCTCCAACTGAAAAATTTTGGTTATCCCAGTAATCTGGAATCCATCTCTCTCTCTCTGGCAATGAGATACCACTTGCTTTTCCCAAAAGACCTTGTTACATCTCAGAGTCATGCCAGTTTGCTCTGTGGTACTGAGGAGAATGATCTTGGTGAATGCTCTAACAGTTTTCTATCATAATGCCTAAGGAACAATATAAACATGTTATTTTTTCATAGTATTTGTTTTTTATTATCTTTAAAACAGTCCATGCTTATTGAAAGTATGAAAATATAGAAAATAATTAGAGGGGTAGGAAGGATAGTAGAATCAGTTGGACAATAATACCCTACATGATTGATCCTATGCTATGTACAACCAGAAGAATGAGAAGTTATACTCCATTTATGTATGATGTATCACGTTGCATTCTACTGTCATGTATAACTAATTTAGAACAACAAAAAATAAAACTATTAGAAACACAGGATTTACCATAGTTAATGTTTTAGAAAAACATGAATTTTATTTTTATAAATTTGTTAATGGGATTAATATACTAGTGTTCTAATGGAAGAAATAGAATTATTAAGAGAACAAATAGAATTATTAAGAGATATATAGAGATATTTTTAATTGTGACATTGATTGGGATATAATAATTTCATGTTTTGGTTCTTCTTTGGTTCTGGTTAAGAATTAAGCCCTAATTCACAATATCCATTGGTGGACTTCTCTCTTGATCATTTAGAATGACACTCTGTACTTGGGATGAGGATAGTCATCCTGTCTTTTTCTGTGGTATTTAATTCTCTCACAGAAATCTGGCTAAGAGCATGACACAAGTATCTTTGCCTTGACTGAACTAGAATAAAATTTCCCTACCTTTAGAAAGGGCCATTTTCCTCCTTTACTTCCTTTCTTTCTACTTTCTCACCTGGGACATCATACTTTTCCAAATAATTGCTTTTAGGATACTCTAACTCAAGAGAATATGTAAAGATAGGAGAACATATTACACTTTTTTCCACTTCTTGAAGAGCAGATTCTGATCATGGGTTCTGACCAAAAAAGATAGAATTCTAAGACTGGAAGGAACAGTAATCAGTCACTTCAGTCTCTTTTCCAGATAGCAGGGTCTTAGGTTAGTAAAGCAGAAGCCTAAGTAAGTCATATCAATTTCAGACAAAATTTGTTCAAACTTTCAAGTGAGGGGTTTTGAGAAAGCCTACTAAAACATCCAATTCCTTATAAAAGATATCCTATTAGAGAGTAAAGAACAGGTTAAAAATGATAAAATCATAAACCAAATAATGAATGTTCTAGTATCTGTTACTCAATTAAAAAATGATTAGAAGTTAATTAAAGGTGCTAGGAAAAACTTGTTACAAAAGTTCTAATATGGACATGGGAAAATGGTACCACCTCAAGGATTTTCACTAATAACCAAGTAAAATATCTTGAAGTGCTGACCTTTAAGTGATAAGCTCTTAATTGCACTTTTCTCATAGGTAATGACTAGTGAGTAAAAAGTTTACTCAGGAATTTTGAACTGAAAATCCTCAAAGGGATGTGTTTTCATCAGTCAAAAATGATACTAGCTGCAAGGTGTGGTTGCACATGCCTGTAATCCCAGTGGTTTAGGAGGCTGAGGCAGAAGGATCTCAAGTTCAAAGCCAGTCTCAGCAAAAGCAAGATGCTAAGCAACTTAGTGAGACCCTGTCTCTAAATAAAATGAAAAGTAGGGTTGGGATGTGGCTCAGTGGTTGAGTGCCCCTGAGTTCAATCCCTGGTACCCACCCCCCCCCCCCCCCCCCCCGCAAAAAAAATAAGACTAGCCGAAGAAAAACAAGGGCCACCAAATGATAAGTTCTACTGATAAGCTTAAATTTTGGAAATAGAACTCAAAAGAAGGTATTTTTATTTTTAAGTGTGGCTGCATTTGCAGTGTGAATTGAACTTAGAAAAGTATTTCACTCTTCCTATTATAAGAATTAATTTTAAAGGGCAAAAAAAGAAGTTTCACATTTCAGAAATCAACTCCTCTGTACTTGCCAATCATCCTGGATGTAGACCTGTCCAGAAGCATTTATTGTTTAGTCAGCTGATATTCTGGGACTTCTGAAGGTCCAGTACCTCTTAACTGTTTGCCTATTTGGAGCCAAACACTAGTTGTGTAATTTCCTCTCCATGGATTTTCCATTGCCTTCTGGGCAATTACTCTGAGTGACAGCCTCTTTGTCTGGCCTGTTCAGCTCCTGAAAACCAGAGCTAATTAACATAGTTAAAAATCTACGCCTGCAGCCATCTTTCCAGGGCAATGGATTGCAAACTTGATGAGATCCTTTACAGGCTCATACATAATTTTAATGCTCCTGATAACACATTAATTGTCCACTCATAAATTTCAAAATGAAGAGGCCTAACTATATCATCACTGTTTGCTATAGCTAGGGGTCAACACCAGATACTCATAGACCAGAGTGTGCTCTAGTAAATGACATTTTTTTTTTTAACTGTACACAGCTTTATCCCTTCTCTGAAAACAAGTGTCAGTGTACACAGAATACAAATGGATCTTGACAGAATACCTTGGTTTGAGCAACTTGGATCACCTCCTTTTAAAGTCTTAATAAATCAAAATTGATGCAGAAAAGTATTTTTCTTGGGAATTTTGAAGGAGGAAAACTAATGGAGAGACTTAAAGTTATATCCTAAGGAATTTAAATTAAAAGACACCTAAAGTCATATGGGCATATGTATATGTTTAATCACCCACCTATCCAAGCTCCCAACTCTGGCAACTAGATACAAGAGACTCCCAACAGCAAGGCTTCCCAGCACCAGGAGCTTCTGTCTCAGCCACGCCTGCTGTTTGAATAGCATGGCCCTCCATCAACCTTCAGAACTGCTGCAGCCTAAGAGAGGGGAGAGAAGGCATTCATTAGTGGTTGTTGCTTACAGGCTCTGTTGAGTTTTACCAAGTCAACCAGAGGGAACTGGGGACAAAGAGATGTCGTATGCAGAACAGTGCCTATAGCAACCTTGTCAATTTTTGAGGTGCAACAGGTATTTAGCCAAACTTACCTTTTTTTTTCAACCTGGCTGGTGCTAAAAAATCATCTACTAGGTTTAGGAGGAAGACATTTACTAGATAGTGCCTGCCAGACAATTGCCAAAACAAATTAATATGCATAGATTATAACATATTATATGTATATCTAAATAATTCAAAGAATTTTGAAAAAATGAGCAACATGAGGTTTACTGGTAATGGCAGGTTCACCAGAGTGAAATGTTGAAATTCCAGTTAGGTTAACCATAATTTTGGGCAAATGAAATGATGTATAACATTTATACATCTTTTGTTTTAGTTGTGAATGGAGGAAGGGAGTGAAGGAAAAAGTGATTTCTTTACCTGCTGAGGCTATCAGTGATAACTTTCAGGACCTTGCATATTTGGAATAGTGGCTCTGAGGAACCTGCTGTTTCTCTTTATGTCCTCTTCCAGGTCTTGGATTCTGAAAACATGCTCTGACTAGGGGCTCCTAATATGTGACCTCCTCTGACACTCAGTGAATTGGAATAGTTTTTGGTGATATCAGTCTTGCTCTTACATCACAAAAGAAGTTTACTTGGAAGCTTTGTTCTCTTGTATCTGAAATAAGGCCAGTGGAAGAGAGAAGGGCTTTTCTTGTGCTGATATTAAACTTGAGGAAAAAAATGCAAGCTCCCAATTCAGTCTTTTTTATTAAAAATAAATCCAATCTCTCTTTCAAGATAAGATTGTTTGCTTCTTATTGAAGCTCAAAATAGTAAGCTAAGAAGAAGGAAGCTGAGAGACGTGGTTAGAAATTGTTTTGCTGCAGTGTATCTCCATATTTGTTATGTGAAGATTTTCTTTGTGCAAAAGAACAAAATCCAATTGGCAATAGTGTGTGAATAAATGTGGGGGATGGAGAGTTCCTTGGTGGTGTTGTTGATTGTGGAATATAGGAGGGCATCTGAAGAGGGGGATACAAGAGCAGTATTAATCTAACACATAGTCAGAAAACATTTATGGAACATGTCCTATGAGCTGGATTCTATATTGGTTGCTTCAGAGACTTTAAGTGTCTTTTAATTTAAACTTCCTTAGGCTATAACTTGAAATCTCTCCACTAGTTTTCCTCCATCAAGTAAACAGACATGGTTCTTGCCCCATGGGAATCCACAATCTAATATAAAAGACAGACATGAAGCCAGAAAACCTATATAGGATTAATACATGACACATTGTAACAAGTGTGAGCCAGTGTATTCTATATAGAGGATTAATATGTACACTTACAAATGGTATGAAATGTAACAGAGGATAATTACATAAGAGAAAGAATAACTGGGAGTCCACCTCAGTTCTCCCTGAAGAAGTGACCCCAGGACTCATACTTGGAGGAAAAGCAGGAGGCAGGAGTAGGACACAGTGGATTTAGGGCAGTGGTGCATGATGATGCACAAAGAGACTGAGGAGGGATAACTTTTGCCTAATATGGCAGGTGCATTTGTACACAGGGACTAAGGGGGAAAGAAAAAAGGTGAAGTGTAAAAGCAAAGAGCAAGTAGTAAGGAAGTATTTCAGGGGTCTGGGTGGGCCCGTGTTTTCAACTTAGCAGGGTTTTCCCTAGGGGCAGTAAAAGGGGGCAGAAAGAAGAGAGAGAGAGTAAGGCATATTGAGGTCCACTATGTGGTAAGCACATTATTCAGGTGGTATTTCAGGAAATTCTCAAAAACATCTATGAAGTAGAAAGTGTTATTTCCATTTTGTCGATGGGTAAAGGGAAGCTCACAATTTTCTCCTTTGCCTGTGTTCACACAACTGGCAGGTAAGGTGAAGGCAAAGTCAGAAACCTCTGGAATGTGATTCAAGCTTCATGGAGAATCAATTTCCTTACTCTAGGTTGATGTCCAAGATCCTCAGTTAGGACCACATGCTTTTAGCATGGGGCTTTGATCCCTGTTGAAATGCTGTCAGAATGAAATACGATTCTACACGTAACATCACTCTACAGAGCTTTATAGCTTTCCAGACTAAAGGATTATGTGTTCTTTGTATCTTTTTTTTTTTTTTTAATTTTTTATTGTTGGCTGTTCAAAACTGTTCTTTGTATCTTAATGTGAATGAAGTTAATGTGCATTTACAGACAAATGGCATGCGAGAATAAAGGTCTTCTATGGCTGAGGAAAGGCAATGGAAATGGGGATGATGGGTAGACAAAGGTAAAATGTGGGTTTGACAAAAATCACCAGCCTCATACAGAGGACCAAGTTGGAGACAAGTCATTTGGCTTTCTCAGCTATTGAAAAGCAGGGTTCATACCCTCCTGCTTAAAACTGTGCTACAGTTTTCTATCCACTTCATCCGCTCATCGGTCCACCCATTTTTCTTTAGTTAGAGACCACTCATCCTTCAAGGTCTAGGCGACATCCAAGTTCCTCCATGAAGTGTTCTCCAGCTGATGCTCTGGTCCTCAGTCTTGCTCACCTCCACTAAACTCTTGTTCCCATCAGCCAGCACCACATCTGTGCTTGTTGCTGCCTTCTGTGTCTGTTACTACCACCTCCTGGCAATAGGCTAAGCCTGCTGGCTGGTTCAGAAGTATTAGAAAGCAACCTGAAGGCACTGAGCCCACAATCTGTCTGTCATGATGCAAAGGTCTGGGGTTCTCTATGGTAGGCTTTCATACTATCCTCAGAGATTCTAATTCAATGGGTCTGCATTAACCTTGTAATACTAGAAGAAAGTTAAAAAATTTAATATCATGTTCTACAGTTATTTTTCTCTTTGTCACCCATGCCAGTAAACTATTTCTCTGTTAATTTCTTTTTGCCTTGTTCTGTCTGGTACTTAGTGCCTCCCTTATTTCTTAACATTTGGGTATGTTCTCTGTGTTGGTTTCCTATAGGTCTGTGTAGTTGGATTAATCTTCTTAATGTGAGTTATTTTGTCTGTTTTAGTTGTTCACTGGACCAAGTCCAGTTCCTTCCTCTTGAGAGCATAGGCCCTTCCTTCCATGGTCCCAGCATGGTAGTCAGCTTCGCTCTCTCTTAGAGTCAGCCACACTGGCATCTGTGCCTGTCAGCTCAACCTCTTTACCGCTCCTCCTAATGTCTTCAGTCTCATCTCCATGCTTTTGTCAGCTTCCTCTCTGGCCTAGACAGTCTATGTCCCCTCCTTCAGCGCTCCCAGATCCTACTGATATCTTCCTAGGAAGGGTGATTCTGCTGGATGTGGAATTTGAGGGAAAACATGCCCAATATACTTCAGATTGGTAGCTAGAAGTGGATCAGGTCTGCCATGTAGATAATTATAAGGCCAAAGCGTGGGCCTGGAAATAAAGTTTGGAAGAAAATTGCATCCTAGGATTGAGTGAGTAAAGTGATGAAGTGTCCTCATGGTTGTACTCTGCTTAGCGGGCAGAGTGAGGAAGGAAAAGTGATAGTGTGAAGATTGCTGAAGTAGTCCGAGATTTAGGGGTCTATCATGGTAATACTATCGGCCTCCTATTTCAATGCTCACGTCATCTGTATACAGTTGGCTATTAAACTGGGCTGAATATGAGGTCGTAATTTTTTCTATTGCCACTGAGAATTTTTAGACTCCAATACTCCAATATTGTCCTTATAGACTCTTTCTGATTAGCTCAGCTATTCCCATAGAGGTTTTGCCCTGTGGGATAAGCTGCTACTATGGGTTCAGGTGCCCTGTGCTGGAGATATCTTAAATATGCTCACTGGGGTTTTCTTTCTTTGGAAACCTAATTTATCCAGCCTTTTATTTGTAGAGTTGACATAGCTCCTTCCATTGCTTTCTCTTTTGCTATGTCTGGCTCATTCTTATTGCACCCTCTGATGTACTTCATGTCTACTGTGGTGCTGAGGAGAATTAAATTAATATTAGTAAGTTGCCCATGGTGAAGTGCCAAGACTACTCTACAAGGAGTCAAAAGAACTCATGTCATATTTTGGTTTAGTCTTGTTATGGGGACCATCTGAATTTTGTTCCTCATCTGTGAAGTGAAGATAACAGTGCCCATCTCACAGGGTTGTCATGACATGAACACTAAGTCACTGCAGGATAGAACTTCATGAACAGCTGAGTACTTTACAGAAATGAAGTGTAATTAATATCTTCAGGAGGCAGATGAATTAATTCATGCAATGCATTTTAAAGAGGTAAAGAATAAAATAAGTGCAATTTTCATGAATAATGTAATTGGATTGTGAAAAAATAGAAGTCCATTTTTAAGTATAAATCATTTTTAATGGAAACTCTTGTTAAACAATAATATACTAACACCATAATTTCTGTTCAAAGCAAGATGCTAGGCAGGTGCATGCATGTGTGTACATGCACACACAGATAGATGCAATGCTTCTCTTTTTGAGCTGAAATCTCTTGAAACTTTTGAGAAATGAGGAGGACATGCCAGCAGTTTCTAACGAGGCTCCTTTGAGACAGGAAGTGAAATATCATTCTGCTTTGTACAGTCTCTAACTATATGCTAAGATACAAGACCAGAGCAGCTTCTGCATAAACCTTCCTCAGAGAAAACCAAAGGTAATGGGTTAAGTAAGATTCAAGATGACTCTTTGTTTTTTTCTATAGCATCATAAAGTGTTTAAGAGCTTGCCAGGATGGAACCTCAAAAGTTGGAAGTTCTCACTTTTGTTCTGGGCATGTCAGAGAAAGAAGCAGGCGATTCAATCCTCAGGCACAGTGCAGTCAAATTGGTTAGAAGGTTAACTGCCTCTTCAACCCCAGAGTCCCTTCCCTTCAGCTGTGCCAACTTTAATGGATATTTTAATAATCTTTCATTAGAACAGTCATATGGGTAATAGGCAATTTAGATATAGTTTTTAAAAAGTCTGTAATTTATTT